CTATGGACACAGAGTTCAAATTTTCATTACTTAAGTCACTCAACTCAATATTATTAGGAAATTTGGGCTCTTTGTTATGGATTGAACAATTTCAGTTGCAGTTTCTAATTCAAAGTTCGAATCTTCATTTATTCTCGCCCCCTGAAGATGAGTGCCAAAAAATGGTTGAGACTCAAAGAAGGTAGCATCCATTGTGACAAACATTTTGTGAGATTTTACGTCATAGCACTTGTACCCCTTTTGGTTCGGAACATATCCTACAAATATACACTTCCTAGCGCGAGGATATAACTTCCCCCTATTTTGACTGTAAATATGAACGAATGCACTACACCCAAACACTCTCAAGAGTAAATCTGTTGTCAACTTAGAGGTAGGAAATGTATTCTTGAAGACATTTAGAGGTGTTTGATAATTTAGAACTTTGGTAGGCATGCGATTTATTAGGTATGTTGTAGTTAGGAGTGCCTCTCCCCAAAGATACTTAGGAACACCATTAGTAAATAATAATGCTCTAGTGACTTCTAGGAGGTGTTTGTTTTTTCTTTTTGCTATCCCATTTTGTTGGGGTGTATCTGAACATGAACTTTAATGTATTATGCCCTTTTTTGAAAAATATCCCCTAGGATTTCATTAAAGTATTCTCTACCATTATCACTCCTAAACACCTTTATTTTTTCTTGAAATTGTGTTTCAATCATTGTATAGAATACCTGAAAAATCTCTTTTACTTTGAACTTGTCCCTTAATAAATATACCCAAGTGAGTCGTGTGTGATCATCTATAAAGCTAACAGACCATTTTTTTCCATACATTGTTGAGTCCCTAGATGGTCCCCAAACATCACTATGAATTAGCAGAAACGGTTTTGATGCTTGATATGGTCTAGAAGGAAAGAAAGAACGATGGTGCTTAGCTAGTTCACAAATCTCACATTTAAACGAAGATGGACTTTTATTTCTAAATAAATTAGGTAGCAAATATTTTAAGTAATAAAAACTTAGATGTCCTAATCTATAATGTCGAAGCATAACATCATTAGAAACAGAAATAGAGTTTAAACAAGAATTTTGAACTTGGTGTCTTGAGTCGGTTCCATCTTCAAGAAAATAGAAATCTCCACTTTCTCTAGCACTGCCAATCATCCTCCCTGAGACCATGTCCTGAAACTCACACCAAGAGGAGTAAAAAATAACACGACAATTAAGGGAATTTGTTATCTGACTAATAGACACAAGGTTACAAGAGAGTTTAGGAACATGAAATACATCACGCAAGATTATAGAATTGGAAATTTTAATAGTCCATGTTCCAGCAATTGCTGAGAGGGAACTATCAGCTATTCTAATCTTTTTATTCCCTGCACATGGGGTATAAGTTGAAAAAAATTGGAAGCAACCTGTCATGTGATCAGTGGCTCCAGAATCTATGATCCAGGAGCTGTTTTGTTTAGGATTGACACTGAGGAAGGCTGAGACAAGATTACCTGTTTCGACAAAGGAACAAGAAGGGGTTGATTGGTTTACTCGGAATTGTGAAGACTGAAAAAACTTGTGCAGTTGTTCCAATTGCTCCTTCGTGAAAGGTAGCCCTTTAGGAGTACATTGTTGTCCTTGATCTTCACTGGTTGCTTGAGCCGAGAAGCCCCTGTTATCAGCATTCTTCTTCTTCCAGTTCTGCGGTTTTCCATGAATCTTCCAGCAGTTTTCACGCATATGCCAGTGCTTCTTGCAATGATCACACCAAGGCTTCTTTTTCCTGTCATTTTCCGATTCATTCCACATTGACACAAGGGCAGAATTGTCAGTCACAGCAGTCACAGGTTTGTTATCTTCTTCGGTTTTCAACATAACCTTCCTCCTAGTCTCCTCTCTCCTAATTTCAGAAAAGGCCTCCCGAAGAGTTGGTAGAGGGTTTTTCCCGAGGATCCTAGACCTAATCTCATCAAAGACTCGATCCAAACCAGCCAAAAACGGGTACACTCGATCACTCTCTTCTTTTCTCATGAATCTCACGCTATCAGTTGGGCAATCCCACTCATCATTGTAACATTGATCTAACTCTTGCCATAGGGAAACCATCTCATTATAATAAACTGTAACCTCACGCTCACTCTGTTTGGATTTCAACAACTTGGTTTTCAATATAAAGATTTGTGAGAAATTTTTAAGGTCAGAATAAGTCTCTCTAACCGCATCCCATACATCTTTTGCAGTAGAAAGAAAAAGGTAGGGTTTACCTATGGTCGGTTCCATAGAGTTGATCAGCCAGGCAGTGACTAAGGAGTTTTCTGATCTCCATGCTTTCAGTTTCAGATCTCCATCTCCACGTTTCTTCACTTCTCCATTCAAATGACCGAGTTTCCCTCTTCCATCTATGGCCAGCTTCACCGATTGTGCCCATTCTAGGTAGTTTTTCCCATTCAATTTGTGGAGAGTCAATTGGAATGAAAAATGAGAGGAGTCTCCCCCTTGAGCCATGGTGGTTCGATTTGGTTCACCACGATTAGGGCCTTCTGCCCTAGAGGATGCCGAGGATCTTCCTTCTTTTGTAATGGCCGTTTCAGCCATCAATTGAGAAGATTATTTTCGGCTCTGATACCATGTAGGTTTCAGGGCAGAAAAGAAAGTATTTCTCATTAATATTTTATGTACAAGGGTTACAATATTTATAGGAAAACCATCCCACGGAATAGGGAAAGTAAATCCCTTGATTGAGGGAGATCCTTATCTCAAGGAATCTCTTTAAAAATTGAGAGAATAAACTACTTTTCTAATTTATCTCTAAGCCCTTATTAACCGGATTGGTACATATATGGTCCATGACTTTAGTCTACTTTCCTGATTTCTACAAATAGTATGACTGTAACAGTATTCATTTTGGCCACAAGAGCAAATGTCTCTTGATAGTCGATTATGTAAGTCTGGGTGTAACCTTGACAACCAATCTAGCCTTGTACCTGTCAACTGTCCCATCCAACTTATATTTTACCCAAAAAACCCACTCACACCCTACTGTCTTCTTCCCTTGAGGTAATTCAACCATCTCCCAAGTAGAGTTCTCTGGGGGCGAGGGCTTCCTCTCATCTACCATAGCATATTGCCACTTAATATCTTTAAGGGCTTCCTGAAAATGACTAGGAATAGACACAGAAGACAACTGAAGGGCAAATGCCAGGTGAGTTCTAGACAAATTATGATAAGAGACAAAGTCAGAGATAAGGTAAACAACATTAGAAGATGATTTTGAGAAACCTAACCTATCAGGTTCTTTACGATCACAAAGATGATATCTTCTAACTTCTTGTGGATTCAAGACGGTAGATTTAGGATTAGGATCAATTCTTGAAGTTGAAGTTTTAGGAGAGGAGACACGTACCTTAGGGTTAATCTCAGAAGTCATCCCGATGGCATGGTAGTTTCATCTAGAGGGGTATTGGAGTTTGGAGGAGGATGGCAGTAGCATCCTTATTCTTCCTTGTGTAACCTTTTTGAAACATCCGAGTTGGTCTTTCACTCCTTTCACTCTTTTCCTCAAATTCAGATTCAACACCACCGGATTTTCCGGGTTCAATTTCAGCATTTTCAAGTTTGGCAGCATTTTCAGGTTCGGATGGCACATTAGCAGGCCTTCTCCTGTTCCTTCCGAATCCTCCCCCTTACCCGAAATCCAAAACTTTTTCTCTTCTAACCACAAACCACAAGCGTTCCTCTTCCTTACTGTTTATCTCCCTGTGAAAAGGAACCAAAGATGCATCCCCAGAAAAATAAGACTCTTGTTCACATAATTGAACATCCATGGACACATAGTATCTACCTGTAGGAGGATGAAAACATTTATAACCTTTTTGAGAACCAAAGTAACCAAGGAAGACACATTTAAGGGCTCAAGGGGATGGGAGTGGACATGAACATAACACACACATCCAAAGACCTTAGGACATGGATATAAGGCAGAAGGAATAGTGTGAAAATGTGACAACATCCTCAAAGGAGTTTGATAGTCAATGATACAGGCATGCATTTGGTTTATAAGGAAGACAACAGTCATGACAGCCTCAACCCAAAATCGTTTAGGAACACACATAGTAAAGCATAAGGCCCGAGCTATCTCAAGGATATGCCGATTCTTACACTCGGCTACGCCATTCTGCTGAGGCATGTAGGTGCACGTTGTCTGATGAAGGATACCATGTTCTTTGAATAAATCAGCAAGATATTGATTCACAAACTCGCGACCATTGTCAGAGTGAAAAACTTGAACCGGAATATGAGACTGAGTGACAATCATTTTTGAAAATTGAGGAATAACATGTATAACATCATTCTTAGACTTCAACAAATATGCCCAACTCACCCTAGTACAATCATATCGATAAAAGACAAAATATTTATGTCCCGAGGCAGAGGGAGTAGAGAAACGACCCTAAACATCAATATAAACACATGTGAAAGGAACATGACTTTTGTTGAAACTTATTTTAAAAGGCACATGATGATTTTTAGCATAAATGCATTGTTCGCACCTTAAACTGGAAACAGAAACATGCCAAAATAACTGAGGAAATAAACGTTCTAAATAAGAAAAAGATGGGTGACCCAAACGACAATGCCATAAAAGAATCTTCTCTCCCTCTTGCTACTTGAAAACCATGTCCATGCTCAGATTTTAAGTCCCTTGCCCCCTCCAAATAGTAAAGACCTCCCCTTTCTTTACTATAGGTTTTTGGAGAAATTCTCATTCACATTTTATTTTACACAATTGCTCTTTTATAGCAGTTTACAAGCAAAACAGCTATTCTACTAAGCTGATTTTGTTTCCTGATTCAATGAGAATATCTCTTAATTAAAGCAGAAAGTCAACTTAGCCTTTTCAGAAAAGATGACAACTAGGAATAGAAAGGTCCTAACTCCTAAAATAAGAAACTAATAACCACCCACGGATTCAAGGATTTATTTGATCCTTTCATCTGTTTACAATTACTCTCACGACACTCCCCCTCAAGTTGGGCTGCATATATTGATCATGCCCAGCTTGGAACACAATTCCTCAAACACATTTCTGCTGAGTGCTTTTGTACGAATATCAGCAGTTTGCAGCGAGGTTGGAATGTACAACAGCTCAAATCTTCCTTCTTCAAACTTTTCTTTGATGAAGTGGCGATCAATTTTGACATGTTTCGTCCTATCATGGTGCACAAGATTCTTTGTGATGTTGATGGCTGATTGATTATCACAATGTATCTTCATGGATTCTTCAAGACTGATCTTCAACTCTTTTAGAACTCATTCAATCCAGATACCTTCGCATATCCTCTGTGCCATTGCTCGGAATTTTGCTTCTGCACTACTTGAAACCGCCGGTTGCTTTTTGCTTCGCCAAGTCACTAAATTTCCCCACACATATGTGCAATAGCTCGAGGTAGATCTTCGATCTTGTGTTGAACCAGCCCAGTCTACATCAGTGAAGATCTTTGTCTCTCCTTGAACCCTTTTGAAAATAAAGTCCCTTACCAAGAGTCATTTTCAAATATCTTAGGATTCTATAAACAGGCTCCATATGCTCCTCTCTAGGGTTGTTCATGAATTGACTCACTGTGCTTACTGCAAAGCTAATATCAAGTCTGGTATGAGACCGATATATCAACTTTCCCACTAGTCTTTGGTTATCTTCCCTTATTCACTGGAACACCATCTTCTTTATATCCCAACATAGTGCTAGAGTCCATAAGAGTATTTACAGGCTGGCACCCAATCATTCCAGTTTCTTTTAGGAGATCTAGAGCATATTTCCTTTGAGAAACATATATCCCATTCCTTGACCGAGCCACCTCCATTCCCAGAAAGTATTTAAGGTTCTTAAGGTCTTTAATTTTAAATTCTTTTGCCAACATCCGTTCAGTGCATCCGTTTCTCTGTGATCATTTCCTATCAATATAATATCATCCACATACACTATTAGTATGGACAGTTGTAGGTTTCTAGGGCAGAAAAATTGTATATTACTCTATTGAACTGTACAACATTTACACGGCTTTTATAGGGAAAACATACCACCTAATTAGGTATAGAAATCCCTCAATTAAATGGGAAACAAGGCCAAACATCCTACTTTCTTTATTTCTACACTCCCCCTCAAGTTGGTGCATAGATATCTATCATGCCCAACTTGCTAATAAGAAACTCAAAGCTTGGTCCGAATAATCCCTTTGTGAGAATATCTGCTACTTGTTGCGATCTTGGAATGAAGGGAATACAAATAGCTCCAGCCTCGATCTTTTCTTTTATAAAATGCTTGTCAATCTCAATATGTTTAGTTCTATCATGTTGGACTGGGTTATGGGCAATGCTAATGGCTGCCTTGTTATCACAGTACAACTTCATAGGTAGTCACTGGTCTTCTCAGTTCCTCCAAGATCCGTTTAAGCCATAACATTTCACAAACTCAGAGGCTAGGCACTGACTTACTAGGCTCACAGCAAATGCTATGTCTGGCCGTGTATGTGACAAGTAAATTAGCTTTCCCACTAGCTTCTGATATTGAGTTGTATCTACCGGTTTTCCTTCCTTGCTCCCAAACTTATGATTCGGATCAATGGGTGTTTCGGCAGGACGACATCCACTCACTCCAGTTTCTTTAAGTAAATCTACCACATATTTCCCCTAAAACACCGCAATTCCCCTTTCTGACCAAGCTATCTCCATTCCAAGAAAATATTTTATTGAACCCAGATCTTTGATTTCAAACTCAGAGGCTAGGCACTGGTTCAACCGATCCATTTCGGTCACGTCATCCCCGGTAAGAATAATCTCATCAACATAAACTATAAGAACAGCTATCTTCCCACCAGCTGAGTACCTTGTGAACATGGTTTGGTCTGCCTGTCCCTGAGCATATCCTTGTTTTTTTTACAAACTGAGTGAACCTCTCAAACCAGGCTCTCGGTGACTGTTTTAAGTCGTACAGGGATTTTCTTAGTTTACATACCTTTGAGCCAAACTTCTTCTCAAAACCTGGAGGTGGATCCATATAGACTTCTTCTAAGTTGCCATTGAGGAATGCATTCTTCACATCTAGTTGTTGAAGTTGCCAGTCTAGATTAGCTGTAATTGTTAAAAGCACTATGACAATATTCATCTTTGCCACGGGTGCAAAGGTCTCAAGGTAGTCAATACCATACGTTTGAGTGAACCCCTTAGCCACTAGGCGAGCCTTGTATCTTTCTAAGGATCCATCAGATTTAAACTTGGTTGTGAACACTCATTTGCAGCCAACTTTCTTTTCCTTCGGCAACTCCATTGCCTGCCACATTCCATTTTTTTCAAGAGCCCTCATCTCTTCAAGAATAGCTTCCTTCCATTCAGGAACTCTAGAGCATCCTGCACATTCTTTGGAATCTCCACACTAGATAATTGTGAGATAAACACAAAAAAAACTGGGGATAGATTTTTATAGGTAACAAAATTGGACATTGGATACTTGACACAACTTCTGACACCTTTACAATGAGCAATTGGAAGGTCAAGTTCAGACACAGGTGCGGACTCTTGATGTGGAGGATCTATGAGAGTAGGTACGGACTGACTGGACTCTTGATGAGGAAGATTTATGTGAGTAGGGGCTTTATGAGGATTACTTGGAACATCAATATAATTTTGAATGATCTGAGGTGTAGACTCTTGACAGTGTTGGGAGGTGTCAGTCCTATTTCCTTGCTTCCGGTTCCTTCTTGAGTAGACAAGTAGCCTTTTTGTACCTGCTTGTTCATTATTTCCATGTCTACTAATATTATGAGATGGTTCTATAGCTCCAGCATCCAAGTTTTCATTAGTCAAATCACTAGGTTCCACATTTATTAAGAAATTTGGACTTTGAACATTATCAGATGTGCCAAGGAAATCAAGAAAATTAGAATAATCTTCACTTAGGCTCTCCCCCTGAAGATGATTATCAAAAAATGGTTGATCTTCAAAGAAGGTTACATCTAAAGTAACAAACATTTTTCTTGTTCTCAGATCATAGCATTTATACCCCTTTTGGTGTGGAGCATAGCCTACAAAAACACACTTCCGAGCTCTAGGATCTAATTTTCCCCAATTTTGGTCATGTATATGGATAAAGGCACTACAACCAAATACATTCAGAGGTAAATCAGTTATCAATCTTGAAGTTGGAAAGGCATCTTTAAAGGTATTATGAGGAGTTTTGAAGTTCCAAGATTTTTGTAGGCATGCGGTTTATGAGGTATGTTGCAGTTAAAAGTGCTTCTCCCTAAAGATACTTAGGGACATGATGAGTGAAAAGTAGTGCCCTAGTGACTTCTAAGAGATGTTTGTTTTTACGCTCTGCTATCCCATTTTGTTGGGGTGTATTTAGGCATGTGCTTTGATGTATTATCCCTTTTTTTGAAAAATAATCCCCTAGGACTTCATTAAAGTATTCTCTCCCATTGTCACTTCTGAACACTTTGATTGTTTCCTGAAACTGTCTCAACCAATGTATAAAACACTTTAAAAATCTCTTTTACCTTAGATTTATCCTTTAGTAAATAAACTCAACTAAGCCGTGTGTGATCATCAATAAAACTAACAAACCATTTTTTGCCAAACATTGTTGTGACTCTAGATGGTCCCCAAACATCACTATGAATTAGCAAAAAAGGTTTTGAAGCTTGATATGGTCTTGAAGGGAAAAAAGAGCGATGATGTTTTGCCAATTCACATATTTCACATCGAAAAGAAGATGGACTTTTATTTCGAAATAAATCAAGTAACAAGTGTTTCAAGTAATAAAAACTTAGATGTCCTAGTCTATAATGTCAAAGCATAACATTATTAGAAACAGAAATAGCGTTCAAACAAGTATTTTGAACTTGCTGTCCAGAGTTGGTACCATCTTCAAGGAAATAGAGTCGTCCACTTTCCCTAGCACTGCCAATCGTCCTCCTAGAGACCATTTCCTGAAACTCACACCGAGAGGAGTTAAAAATAGTACAACAATTGAGAGTATTAGTAATTTTACTAATTGACACAAGATTACAAGAAAGGTTTGGGACATGAAGGACATCATGCAGGATTATAAAGGGATTTATCCTGATAGTTCCTATTCCAGCAACTGCCGAGAATGAGCCATCAGCGATTCTTATCTTTTTATTTTCTGCACGTGGAGTATAGGTGGAAAAAAACTGGGAACAGCCTATCATGTGATCAGTAGCCCTTGAATCTATGATCCAAAAACTGTTTTGACTGGGGCTGCTGCTGGAAAAAACCGAGATAGGGACAGAGACAGGTTTACCTGTTTGGACAAAGGAACAGGAAGAATTTGATGGGTTTACTCGGAACTGAGGAGATTGGAGAAGTTTGTGCAATTGCTCTAGTTGATCCTTTGTGAAAGGAAGCGATTCTTGAGTACTTTGCTGCCCCTGTTCTTCAGTGAATACTTGGAGTGCCCGATTGTCTGGAGCATTCTTCTTCTTCCAATTCGGAGGCTTCCCATGGAGTTTCCAACAATTTTCCCGTGTATGCCAATGTTTTTTGCAATGATAACACCACGGTTTCTTCTTCCTATCATTCTCCAATTCATTCCTTGAAACAAAGGCCAAATTGTCATTGATAGCACCAGTGGCTGGTTTCACCTCCGAATCGTTTTTCAAAATAACCTTCCTCCTAGTCTCTTCTTTCCTAATCTCAGAAAAAGCCTCTCGAAGTGTAGGCAAGGGTTTTTTTTCCAAGAATCCTAGACCCAACCTCATTAAATTCCTAGTTTAGGCCTGCTAAGTAAAGATACACCCGGTCACTCTCTTTCTTCTTCATAAACCTAACACTATCGGTTGGACAATCCCATTCATCATTGTAGCATTGATCTAATTCTTGCCATAGAGACACCATCTCATTGTAAAAGACAGTCACTTCACGTTCACCTTGCCTAGACTTCCACAACTTAATTTTTAGTTCAAAAATCTGTGAAAAATTTTCGGCATCAGAATAGGTTTCCCTAGCCGCCTCCCAAACATCTCTAGCGGTAGGGAGAAAAAGGTATGGTTTACCTATCGTTGGCTCCATGGAATTGATCAACCAGGCGATGACCAATGAGTTCTCGGATCTCCATGCACTCAGTTTCGGATCTTCAACCTTAGGTCTCTCCATGTCTCCAGTCAAATAGCCTAGATTTCCCTTGCTGTCGATACCTAGCTTCATGGAATGCGCCTATTCTAAGTAGTTCTTCCCATTCAATATGTGGAGGGCTAGTTGGAACGAAATATGAGAAGAATCCCCCTCATGATTCATGGTGGTTCGGTATGGTTCACCAATATTAGAGCTCTCTGCCTTAGATGAAGCCGAGGATATCCTTTCCTCTGTAGCCACCGTTTCAGCCATCAAAGAGAGGCCGGCTTTGATACCATGTAGGTTTCTAGGGCAGAAAAATTGTATATTGCTCTATTGAACTGTACAACATTTACACGGCTTTTATAGGGAAAACATACCACCTAATTAGGTATAGAAATCCCTCCATTAAAGGAGATCCTTATTTTAAGGAATCTCTTTTATTTAAAAAATAAACTAATTTCCTAATCTATCTAACAACCCCTAATTGACCAGTTTAAATGGGAAACAAGGCCAAACATTATACTTTCCTTATTTCTACAACAGTTTAGCTCCCTCAGAGTGTTTGACAAACAGTGTGTGGTCTGCCTGGCCTTGAGTGTATCCATATCGTTTAACTACTCTTGTGAACCTATCAAACTAAGCTCGTGGGGACTGTTTAAGTCCATATAACGATCTTTTGAGTTTTACAGACTTTATTTGTTATGGCTTGAGTTTCTAGCCCCGGTGGAATCTTCATAGAAACTTCTTTAGCTAGATCACCATTGAGGAAGGCATTTTTTTACAGCAAGTTTGAGTAATGACCAATCCAAGTTTGCTGCTAAAGAAAGGAGTATTCGAATGGTATTGAGTTTCACTACAGAAGCAAAAGTTTCTTGATAGTCAATCTTATATGACTGTGTAAACCCTTTAGCAACTAAGCGGGCTTTAAACCAGTCAACACTTTCATATTCTTTGTATTTCACAGCAAATATCCACTTGCATCCAACTGGATTTTTATTGGGAGGCATATCTGTGATTACCCATGTACCATTTTTCTCCAATGCCTAAATTTCTTCCCAAACTACATCTCTCCATTTTGATTGATTAAGTGCCTCGGAAATGGAAGTAGGTACCTAAACATTGTCCAAGTTGGTCACTAGGGTTTGCATTTTCGATGATAAGCCTTGATAGGATACAAAGTTGGAGATTGAATGCTTTGTACATGACCTGACCCCTTTCCTTTCAGCAATAGGCCGATTAAGATCATCATTAGTAAACTCATTACTAATAGAGGTAGATTTGGTGTTACCTGATGAATTTGTACTTGAATTCAGTTCAGATTCTTGGTTTTTGAAGAGAATTGTGAATGAGACAAAGCAATTCTCATTAATTCTGAATAGAGAAGAGAGAGTGAAAAACTGGAAACTAATTACAAAATAGGAAACTATCACTAATGAGGATTATGTCAAATCCCCCTTATTCTAGGAAACAGAATAAAACTATATTAGGAAACAAAGTCATATAATTCCTGATTTCTCTAGTCTACAAATCCGGATTTCTACACTCCTCCTCAAGCTAGGTTGTAGATGTTGAGCAATCCTAGCTTGGAATTCAGTTCTTCAAAGGTCTTCCTTGGCACTGCCTTGGTGAGAATATCTGTCGTCTGTTGGCTAGTTGGAACATGTCTGAGTGCTATAACATTGGACTCTATCTTTTCTTTGACAAAGTGTCTGTCAATTTCCACATGCTTTGTCTTGTCATGGTGTACAAGATTCTTGGCTATGCTGATAGTGGACTAATTGTCACAAAATACTGTCATCGGTTCACTGATAGGAATCCTTAGACCTTTACCTGGAGTCATCTTTAAGTACCTCAGAATTATGAAAACAGCTTCCGTGTGTTCTTCAGTGGGATTGTTCATGAATTGACTCACTGTACTCACTACAAAGCTAATATCAAGTCTGCTATGAGAGAGATATATAAGCTTTCCGACTAATCTCTAATATCTTCCTTTGTCAACTGGTATACTTTCTTCCTTTCTTCCAAGTTTGG